TAGCCAAAACAATGGATATAAAAAGATGATCAGTCTCTGCCTGAGAGTAATGTTCCTTTCTCAATGTTCGTAGGACGTGTAAACACTTGTTTGCTTTGACAAGCTTAGTTCTTACATGCTCATCAAATTTTCCGTCACTCTGTAAAGTTACTCCTAGTAAAACGAAGCTATTACACTGGGGAATATTATTAATTGGAGAGTAGAGTAAATTATGATTTTTCTTTCTAACAACCGGCTCTTTACATTTGCAAGGGTTGCAGACCATTCTATTGTCTTTACACCATGTTAAGAACTGTCCTACTAGGTCGGCAGACGGGTCACTATTCCTAGTGATAGGCGAAAGAATAGTAACATTACACTACATTACGCTACATTACACTTAAGAGATGGAGCAAAACACTGACCCGTGCAGTAAGTTCCGTTGCCTGTGTAACCAACATCACATTCACATTTGCCACTGCCACTTGGTCCACGGCATCTGGGAAAATGATAAAATAAAATTACGAACCGATAATTGAAAGAGAACTAGTGCACTTTCTTCTTTCCAGTCAAAACCTTTCGTTGACCAGATCGTCACTTTTGGATAAACTTTCCCTTTTTAAACATTACTTCGCAAATTATACCTTGTGAACCCAAAGCTATGAATTCAGTCAGGAAAAAAAAGTTAATATCAATATCAACATAGTCATTACAACGACGATAACGACGACGAAGGTGACAATGATGATAGGACGTGTCTGAGGGTGAGGGCTAATTTTTTTCAATTTAATTTTTTGTTTTCCAAACCCTCCATATCAACACACTTATGCATATCAATGCCCTGTAATTGAAGTTGTACACAGGTTTTGTTTTTGCCATCAAATTTAACACCCTGACAATAATTCAAAAGACATTGTTCACTTCGACCTAAAAGGCTCCAGTTTTCAAAACAATTTGACAGTCTAAAACAATAACCTTTTGGACAGCACAGCAGATTTCACAACCTTTCCACTGATGAATAGTTTAAGGTGGTCATTCCGAAAGTGGGTCATTAACAATGTTTTGCAAAGGCCACTACAAAGGTCATCCATATCCTTAACTTTGCTACTTACGTGGCATGTCGACTACACTTCGTTGGAAGGCAGTTGTCAAAATTTGCAGCTATGAAGAAATATATATGAAAAACATTCAAAAATACAAATATGGACCACAGACGGCTGTTAACGGTAGTTAAAGGCAAGAAAGGGGTCCTGAGGATGGCGGAGTTGCGAGAAATTGAAATGGCATTTTTGTTTGCAAGTTTATCTGAAAAGCAGTTCATTTCCAACAATTGTAATTGTTATTTTGCTGAGCAACAAAACAGATCATTCACAACAAAGGATAGTAGGCTGTCCCTTTTTTTATCACATGAACTTACAGGTATTACAAACAGGTCCTTTCCAACCATGTTGACAAAAACATCCTCCATTTCCATTAATGCCCTCATTACAAACTCCATTGATGCATTTGCATTCTAACAAAACATGAAAAAAAAAATCCTTTTAGTAATGCGAGTCTCTGAATGATTTATGAAGGTCCATGGAGTAAAGTAAGAGAAAAAGGCCAACACATAACGTACAGTTTAACACTAAACTTAGGAGCCAACAAGACAACGTCTTTTGCAAACTTTGACCACATTTTGTCTGCTTTGGGAAAAACCTCAAAGACAATCATTTTTTCAGTGCAACCAAAATCTAAAACCCTGTAAAAGAAAAGGAAGTTGCTTAGTCCATTTTAATTAAAAAGATACTCACCACTTGTACAATTATTTCCATATTTTCCAGGAATACATTCTTCACATGCTGTACCGGTGAAATTTGCATCACACTGACAATGACCAGTTCCAGTTTTGCCATCATCACAAACGCCATGACCAGAACAAGGGTTGGTAATATTACCAGGGCATGCTGAAAAGAAGAGGTGAAAGTCATGTTTATAATGAGGAAATGAAGCAAAAATATCAATTTAAACCTCCACCATTTGAAAACTGAGAAGTAAAATCAGTTAAAAACTATTTGAGGATGATTATGGAGTGTGCGAGGGCTCTCGTCGCTTGGGTGCCCAGCAAAGTTATGCAAGTTACCATATGGCAAAGAGGTAGCAATGTGCGGCAACCAGGCTCTATAATACAATACAATACAATACAATACAATGTTCTTTCTTTCGAGAGGGTAGATACATGATTAACCCAGTAAAGAGTTTTCTAACACATGGCCCTCTAATAAACCCACCCCAGGGGAGGACATCCATCACACAGTAATCTCGTGTGTGGGAAATTAACGTCTCCTACCCCAACCCTGCAGGAGACGGGACCTCCATTTATTCGTCCCTATCCGAGAAGACTAGAATATCTAAACCATTTCTTGATTTTATAGAAAGGCAGCAAATTCTTCTCAATTATTTTAAGACCCTGAGTGTTGGTCCGGCCGGGGCTCGAACCCTTGACCTCCCACATAACAGTCCAGCGCTCTACCCATTGAGCTAACCGGGAGGCGGTTATAAGTGCAAAGCTTAACTCGGCTAGATACCATTGTCCACCCTGCCCACCACTGGAATACGAACTTTAATCTTGTTTTCATCAAGACACGAATGGAGTATTTCTATCACATTTGATTCACATAAAGTGACTTGTGTACAACGACTTAAAATCATTAAAATGGCCAAATATATAGTGTTTCTGCTCTTATACAACCCAGCACAGAGTCAAGGTCCATAGAAACAAACGTAACATAACGAAAAAAACTATCCAGGCATATTTTTGGCTTAAAGAACGTGAAATCCAAAGAAAAATAGACACGTTCAATTTGACTATCATCAAACAGTACCAGGTACAGAAACACAGAATGCTGATGCTTGTGACAAGAAAATAAACTTCGCATCACCAATTATCAACAAAGGCTTGAAAAAACTAATAACACAGGCAACTTAACCTACATTGACAGTCTTGACCCCAGAATCCACCACAGCATTTCTTGATCTGAAAATAGTTCAAAACAAGTGATAGAAGATTCTCAAAAAGTTTCATTGCAGACAGGCTACCAAAAAAAAGGAGTAAATAGTGGTATGACGTACAAAGTACTTTATGGTACTTATATTATCAATGGCTCCACGTGAAATTAAAACAGGAATTGGGACAAGTAGAGGAAAGACTCACGCCTAATTGTGATCAACTAGTTCAAAGGGTTCTACGAACACTGTGGTCAGCGACATTTAGGGACCTCAAGCAGTCAGGACAGCAACATCAAGGAAGACGTCGATTAAAAAATGAATTTCTAGTTTTAGTTAGAATTTCGCGCATGGCTGGATGTGTTTACCGTCTCTTACGGCGCCACACCTCAACTTCCGCATATCATATATGAGCAACGTTGAGTTTCGAATGGAAATTTAAATTTACCGTTTGGGTTTCCTTTCTCAGAACGCGCGAATTTTGGTGATTTCAGGTTGCTGTTTTGCCGCGTCCTTGTTTCAAATCACTTATGGGATCTCCGCTGTTGTGAGATTTTTTTTAACACGAATACATTCTACCAACATCTTCCCCTTAGTGCCAAAGCCCTTTTAGATAGGTTGCTCAACAAAATAAATAATTACCACCATAAAAATTTTTCTGTGTTTAGATACAGATTGCTACTTACAACAGAAGTTTTTTCACATAGTGCTTGGCAGCCTCTGAATATGAAGATTAATATTCGGACCAAACATGTATCCGGCACAGAGCCCTAAAAGGATCATAAACATATAAGTTATGAATAAACTACTGTTCTAGGTTATACCATAACTATATTTTACGATTGATAAGGCGCTATTTGAAGTTCACTGTTTTGGTTTCATCAAGCAAGATAAGGACTGACAGATGATGTTCTTTAGTGAATGACACAGGCACACCCGGAAATAAAGAACTCCGAGTGCTTCTGATACTAGTCAAACTTAGGATTAGTACTTCTGGTGCTCAATAACTAAGCTTCAAGAGACTCGTGGTAGGCTGGACCATTTACCTAGGTCCGTGGTAAGGACAAGCTTTCTGCATACGGCTAGGGAGGACTTTTTTAAATCTAAACGCCACTATATTCATCATCAACCAGTAAAGTGAAACTCTCAAGGCAAAAAATTCTGTGAATCAGATGTTTTTCATGGGAAACGTCAAACCAGTATTTCAAACCTGAGAATGTTTCTGAAAGCTGTGGTAAGTTTGTATCACAAACACAATAACTTTAATTGATGGTTGTTCGAGGATCAAAATCATTTTGAATGAAAAGTCTTCAATTGGAAACTTATTTCCCTTCAGTCAGTTTACATATCAGAAATACCAGAAGATAATTAAAACAAAATCAACAGCCAGATTACAGTCACTCACAATTTTGGTCCAGCCTGTCGGACATGTTGGGATAAAGAGGTCGCAATATGTACAGACACCCTAGAACAGAAAAATACAACATTACAGCACCATTTCAAACTACCTGTGTTTTCCATTAACAAAAGCAGCTATACCTGTTTACTTGATAATAAACTAATATGTGAGTAGAATTTTAACGTTTAATCAGGTTACCTTCACACAAAGTCTTTGAATGAATGAATGAATAACTTTATTAACGTGCCAATTGTTCTAGTTTTTACAAGTAAAAACTAATTGGGGACACCTACTACGTAAACTAAACTAATAATTATAATAATAATAAGAAGAAAAACTATATACAAACAATATAAAATTGACAAAATTAAGTTTTACATAACTCTCAATTTTCACAATTATTTTCCGATATAACATTTGATAGGTCAAGGACTCTGACTTGATTTTTAAATGCAGTTAGAGAGTCAGCCATTTTGATTGAATTGTGGAGTTTCGACCAAATATAACGTCCCATGTACCTTAGGCTATGTCTTTCGTATCTAATAGAATGCATTTCATTGAGGCACTTACAAAACGTGACGATTTTCTGACCACATCACAGTTCCTCTTAACTGGTTCAAGTACACCATTTATGCCATATACTATTGCTCTTCTAGCTTTGTGGCCCTTAACGACAACATCGATTCCATTCACTCGCAGCTGTTGGAGAAAAAATATGAAAGATGGCAGTTCGTTGTCTCCAAATCCTTCTTATCAATAATGAACGACCATTAGATAGTTTCTCCTCACAATTAAAGCAAAACAATCTCAGGTAGTAGAGTGATTAAGGCAAAGAAATTACATGACTCAACAAGAGAAGATAACAGTGTAAAACTATTCTTGAGAAATTGGGCCAAAAATGTTAAATCTGACTCGCTGTTTCAAAAATTAACAGGAAAGGCTGACTACTGCAAACGAATTTTTTCCATAAAATTTATCTTTGTATGCATCTTTTAGACAACCTCCAGAACCACCCTCTTTACTATTGACACATGTATCTGTCCTTCTGAAATGGTTTACACGGTCATACTTTGCACAGCGCCCTAAGTGGTACTCGGTATTATACAACTGGATTAACAAAAAGCTTAAGAAACATCTCCTTCAATAGCCTTGTGCGCTTTTTGACACACAAAAATGACTATAGTGCACTTGACAAAATATGGGCAGCTACCACCAGTGTTACGAAAACAGCTAGGTTATTTCAAACGGGATTTTCACAAACCATTCCTTTCCTAGGATTGGTGATTTTCACAAGATAATCACTCCCATTCCCCAGCAAAGATGGAAATTCTTCTCCATTACGAATTGTTTCTTCTGTGATGTATTGGTTTACAATATGATACTTAAGGACTGCTGGCGTCTGAAAGAAACAACATTATTTAACTTTTAGTTAAATCATTGACTGAATCTGTAATCTAGCGCGCTATTGTGTTTGTCTTTATTCAATTTATTGATTTATTAATTAATTTATTAATTTATTGCAGCTTGCCGAATTAGACATGTTCAGACAACAAATCAAAAACAGAAAGCGACTTCTCAGTGGAAACGGTGATAAACGGACAATACGAGAGCAAGCATGTCCTGGGAATCCCTTCCTCTAAACAAAAAGACTTCAAATTCCATTTGTTGGACATAATGATGGGCTCAAACAAAAAACATTAAAGCACCATTCTGGTATAATTTATACAGCTTGCTATGCAGTCCATACAAGATAGAGTTAAGTTTAACTTAGATGGTGCCCTAAGCAAAAGCAGCAGCTTCTTTCTGAAACAATAATATTTTTTTGTATTTTTAAACTTACCAAAGTCTGGTTGTCTACAAGGGCATATTTTTTAAGAGCAGAGTTGGTTGGAGCAAATACAGTACACGACTCACAGGCATCCAGGGAGAAAAACAGGCTCACATTCTAAAATGCAAAATGTAACAATTCAATTATAAGTCAATTTACCCGATTGCCACTGACATAAGCTTCTTCTAATTGGCTTATTTATTCATCTCTTTGTTTATTTTTTCTTGCGATATTTGTTTGTTTGTTTTTTTTGCTCCTCTATTTATTCATCTATTCATTACACTTAAATGGTTCGTCTAGATGTTAATGAAAGAATAAGAAGAAATAATAAATTTACAGGAAAATTGTTACAAAGCAGATCATCACGCTAATTAAAGTGGATCAAAAATGGTTTGACCATTTTAAAACACCGACTCTTCGTCAGAAGAAGAGTACCAATTTTTTTTTAAACGTGTTCCTTGAAGGTATCAAGAAAGTCCCAATCACTTTTCTAAACATTTTGAGATTATCTCTTGACACCTTAGGCTACCATAACAACACAAGATAAAAAAAAAAGAGTTAAGGTAACTTTGAACAGTAATCACAGAATATCATAAAACTTTGTGGAAAGATGAATCCTGTTATGCAAACACGTAACTCTCACTCCGCTATTTCTCATAATAGAAGAGGTTTAGCGTGGTCTGTACTCTTATCGACAAAGATATTCGTCCTTACAGTGGTCAATATGTTTACTCTTTAATATTTAATCTTTAATCGAGATACTCCTACAACAGTAATAGCTATACTATGCTGTGGACAAATTGGAGTTCGCAACAAATTCGACTACTGTGATGACGAATATCGTTGTCGATAAGGGTACAGACTGACGCCTAACCACGCGGTCGATTGATTTTTTAATCACAATATTGACGTCAAATAAAATGATTATTTCAGTGCGTGACTACTGCGTGACACATTGACGCGAGCTGCGTCGTCTGCACTCTTATCGAAAGCTGCAAATTAGTCACTCAGCTTGCGACATTACTGCTAATTGTGGTAAAAGAGATTACCTGTGAGATACTGGTGAAATCTGAGAACTCTGGGATACTTTTAAGAAGCTCCGACGTCACTGGAAGCTCCCTCTCGTATGACAGACGAGATGGCAAAAGGACCTGAAAAAAGAGCAGAAAAGCATTCATTTCACCAATACGAGACTCTGAATTTCAGTAGTAAATGTATTGCTCCAAGTATCATGGCGGTGCGAAGGGTTAATGGATAGCATACTCAAGCAAAACACTTGGCCCCTTGAAGTGCCTCTCTCCATCCAGCTATAGGACCTTTTTTCGGGCCAGTTGGGTCTTAATTTTATTTTTTTAACAGGGAGATGTGGTTGTAGTGGCTGGACTCCAAAAATTAAAATGGTTTGTGTTCAATGCATGTCCATGTCATTGTGTTTTGTTCTAAAGCAGGACAGTTAACGTTCACGGTGCCTCTCTCCACACAAGAATGAAAACAAACTGATCATTTCATCCATGAGAAATATTTTTCTTCATTTGCATAATGAACTTAGCAGCTATTGGAAATGACTTCGTCGAAGCACAGAAGGTCTCTTAGACTCTATGTATGATAATCTACGCACACCAGTTTACATTAGTAAAAGGAAACAGACGTATACTGGTCATTAGACAGACGTAATAAGTTATACCCATACTTCCTTATACATGCTATTTCATGCAATGTAACATTCAAGAAAACTTGACAAATTTCAAAGAAGCTTCAGCGGCAAGAGGCCATTAGCTTTGTAAGGCTTCGCCTTAACATAAGAAACAAAAATTGCTCAAATAAGACACAAAGAAAACAAAAACACAAAAAAGTAGACTGATGTTACAGTCTTACCTGGTCAATGATGTGTACAATTCCATTTTCTGCAGTTATGTTAGCTTGAATAATTTGAGCCATTCCACCGATAAATACCTTTAAAAAAAATCAGAATTTCTGTTTAAAAGAAGTTATCGCCTCCAAAGCACTCCTGCTTGGGTAGTCTGTTGCAAATGAGTACAACACAAGTTTCAAGTTTGTTTCATGGGTCCAAAATACAGTAAATACAAGTTGATGTTTGAAGACCGGTATGAATGATAATTGGTCGAAACAGAACAATCACGGCCGACTTACGCCGCTTGTGTCTAACAGCCACAAACTTCACGTTAAAACTGACCAATTGTGTTTTACGAACCGGACCTAAAACATTCAACTGACAATAACTATCCACTTGACTCTGATGATGACTTCCACTCAGGTTGTCGAAACGTCAGTCACCACTATAGACAACAGTCCTTCTCAAGACTACACTCACCCGCACGATCACACTACAATATCACGTGTTACCCCTAGGTCCAAACCATTTACTGAATTATAATTGGTTACCTTTTGACCTTGAGTTGTAACATTTAACACGAGGCTGTTCGAGGTGGTCAGTGACGCCACATTTCTTAGCTTCTCTAAATTGTACACTTGCTCCACCAAATGATACCTAATGAGAAAAAGTCATGAAATTTTTTATGCACATATTGACTATAGTCTTGAATATGAAACACTCACTGCATGTCATGGTATGGATCAACTCAACTTGAAATTCCCCAAAAACAATCGCCGAATGAGCTTTGGAAAGCTTGTTTAGTTCTCTGATTCATTAGCCGCAAAAATCTTGTGGTTTTCTGAATCTGTCACTATATTCGTATGTGATAACAAATGCCTGTGACTCAAAAACCAGAACCTGAGAGATTCATCACAAAACATACAACAAAAGAACAATTCCAAGATTCCACTAATTTGAGAACTGGATATAAAGCAAGAGTCCACTGGGTATGCTAAGCTGTGAATCTCAGTAATCACTGGTTGTCACAGCTGGGTGTATGACAAAATTAAGATAATTTGGTTTTATCAACTAAGTTAATAACGAAAATTGGCTGTTTGAGCGTTAGCCCTTCGTCAGAGTTAAGCAGAAGGGCTAACGCTCGAAAAATCAACTTTAGAAACTTACAGTGGCCAGTTTACTTTATCAACTTAGCTATGAACCAAATTATCTTGTACTACCCCCCACCAATGTAGCACCACAGTTTCTTTAGAAACTCCCCCCCCCTTTGTTTATGTACCTTATTAGATATTGAAGTCTCTCAGTACTGTTAGTCCAATATTTTCTATCACCATCAGATAACTGTGAAAGTGCTACCACTGACGGAGCAAACATAGTGATGTTCTTCCTTGGATCTGATAAATAGTGCAGCATGTTTCCTTGCTGTTTGAACAAGAGAAGAGCTCAAAACCTTAATTATGTCAGTGAATATACAATGAAAAGAAATTTTCATCACCATTATCATGATCAAAATCATCATCATCATCATCATCATCATCCTTGCAGTCATCGTCATCGTCATCGTCATTATTGTAAATTGTAATGTTGATGTCAACCTTGATGGATCAGAATCATTCAAAAGGTTTTGTGGAGTTACTTTTAGTTGAAAATTAATTGATTTTTAAAAATTGTTTATTTCATCTTTACTTTTAGTTGAAGCACCTAAAACCAACAACTGTAGTTATAACATAACCAAAGTAAAGCGCGCGCTCTAATTGGTCAATTTAGCGTCGCCCATTTACCCATGGGTGTACGCTGCTGACGTGACAAATGCAAAGACTATTTTTCCGCGCGCGCTTGTTTTGTTCTGGTCACGTAAGATTTGTTAAATAAAAGGGAACTCTTTAGCTACAATGTGTTAATGTTATGTTATAAAACAAATGGTAAACACCACAGCGTACACTATTGAGTTATGGATGCACTTGGGAGGTTTGCTAAGCACTCAAGAAGCTAGAGTCGCTCTCGGCTATCGCCTCGAGCGACTCTTACGCTTCTTTCGTGCTTAGCAACCTCCCGCGTGCATCCATAACTCAATAGCGTACGCTGTGGTGTTAACCATTTGTTAATTATGAGATGTCCCATTGTCAGTGGTTTCAACAGTAGCCAGACGGTAATAAATTTACTTGCCCTGATAAAGTTCTCCAGCGTTGGATTTGTCTGTCTAACGATCTGTATAAGATAAAAGATGCAAAGAGTAAGACAAATGGTAGTGTAGGAGATGTGATGGCCGGATAATTAACGCGATGGACTCTGAGGGCCGGTTATTAAAACAAAGTTTAGCTTTGTTTAACAAAACTGCGCTCTGAGCTATCTTGAATTTAGCTGAATCCTTCATCTGAACATTTCTTTTTGCGAACAGTGTCAAGAGGGTCGAAAGCTAACAGTGGAAGAACATTTATTTAATGAAGACAAACCTCCTATAGAACATACGTGCGGCCCACTGCTTACGTTAAAACGCGGTTTGGGATAGACATCATATAAATAACCGGCCCTAAGTCTTGAGGTCTACGCTTGAGCTCAGAAGTCTCAGGAAGGAAGGTTTTCTTTTTTTTAAATTGTTTCTTTGTTCCCCACTCAGGAAAACGTTTGAACATCTCTCTTCATTTTTTATATTATCACCTACCATAGCAACAGATCCTAGACAAGTATAACCATTTCCAATGAATCCACTGTTGCAATGACAACTGTAATTCCCTGGGCCAGTTCGCGAACACTTTGCCTGAAAAATCAAAGCAAACGTATTCTTTGAATTAAATAAAACTGACTTGGATTTTCTCAAGATATCCCTTAGAAACTTGCGTCAAGTTAAAGAAAACAAAAAATGAGGTCGTGTATATCAGTTCAATATCAACAAGAACTCTGCTGTTGAATCGCTCTAAGAGGGAGAATTTAACACTAAAAAAATAATTCACCCTGATATGTGTGTGTTTTTTAAAGAAGCTGTTTCAGTCTAGACCAAGACAAAGAAATCTATTTCTGCCCTTGTTCTTTATCCATATTCCTTATCTACATGAACTGTAATTACAAATGCATTGTTCACATGCTGAAAGTTGAACACTGCAATAGGAAAGCATCCACTAGAGGGACCTCACCGTATTTACCCAACTTGTCTTGTGTAAATGACGAAAGGGGATTTCTTTCCTTGGAAAAGGTAACTGAGTGTAAAAACCAATCATGGCCCGCTACTATTTTAGCCACTCTCAATGCGCCGGAATGAAATCTGATGCAATTCTTTTGACTTCTAGGTGATCAAAAGTCGTAATTAGCTCCTGAGTGTACAAATTTGCAAAGTTAACGTTAAATGTCTAAAAACTTTAGTTCACTGTAGCTTACAAATTAACCACACAACTTACATCGCGAGAACACCCTCCATTGTTGACTAAACAAGGATTAACTTCATGACACGATGAACCATTTCCAGTATAGCCTGCCTTGCAGACACAGGTGCTCTGTGAGAACACATAACATTAAAAAATGTCAGCGAAAAATGACAAGAAAATGTAACTAGGAACAACGGTTTACTCATAGCGCTCAGTCAACCACGAGCTGCTAAAAATTAACTTGGTCTAACATATCCTTGAAAAAGAACACATTTTTTATTTTTAGACTGTGTAGCCGAAACCAAAGCATACTCAAGACTATCAGAGCAAGTTTTTTTGTAGCAAAGTAGGACTGTCGTGATTATCCACATTGCTTATACAATCGGACACCCACTAACCTGTCCCGGACCAACATACTGGCACTCAGCGTTACTGTGGCAATCTCCAGCATTTTCTTCCAGACAAGGATCTATGGCAACACAGACTGTTCCATCACCACGGAAACCAACATCACATGTACAATTGTTGGTACCTGGTCCAGTTTTCGTGCAGGTTGCCTCATGGTGACAGCCTCCACGATCAGGTTTGGAACAAGGATTAATTTCAGTGCATTGTATTCCAGAACCTTCATAACCAAAATTGCACTGACAGCTAAAATCACGATGATTTGCAAGGATTAGATAAGGTAACGACAAGTCTTCTAACAGACTAGTGTTTAGGATATCAGGTCTTGCTACCTTAAATTTGAATACAGTTTATATCTCTATGGTTCTGCTACAAACTTGGTATGTACAGGTAAACTTCACTTTAACGTTGTTGGCTCAGTTTTCTTCTCACCTGTCCACATTTCCCTGTCGTCGGCAAGTGGCATGAGCATGACAACGACGGCTCACTGACCCAGGACATGGGACATCCCGCTGGTCGCAGTTATCACCATGAAAACCAGGTGAACAAGATCCAGCCTTACATGTTCCATTTCCTTGAGGAGAGCCACTGTCACATACTCCATGCATACAGGTGCAAGCTAAAAAGGTAAAACAAAGGGAAGAATCCTAAGAAGAATTTTTGCCACTAGGGTGAAACTGGTATTCAAAAGACCGTAACTGGGGCGCCTTGGACAAAAAGTTACAGATAAAAACGTTATCAAGAAAAGAGTTAGTGTCCTTTAATAAAAAATGGGTAAATAAGCAAACTTACTCTGATTGCAAAATGGTCCAAATTTGTTGCTCTCCTGACAAAGTTCACATGCTGTTCCCTTGAAGTTGGCTTTGCAAATGCAAGTTCCATTGCCATTGATTTTATCAAAACACTAGAGCAACAATGAAAGTATGCATTACCAAGTTGAACGCAATATCTCTCAAAAAAGAAACGACAACTTTGACTTTAAATTTACAAGACACGTAATTTGTAACGTACCTTAACATAAATTCAAATGTACAACCGTTAAAAGCTCATTTTCAACTGAGGATGACATGAAAATGTCGAAACATGTCTTGTAAATTTAAAATCAAAGTTGTCGTTTCTTTTTCGAGAGTTATTGTCACTCTGCTGTCTTTATGTCCAATTGTCATTGGCTAATAAATAGAATCCGCTGGCTTGCCCGATTGCAGTCTCGAGAGAAGCGCGCAAATGTTGCTTAATATCTATCGAATAAATGGAACAAGTGGCGTGGGGCACTGAACTCTATGATATTAATGATTTGAACGTAGTTCTTGAGCAGTATAAGTTTTGAAAGTGCCAGCCAAATACTTATGCACATTGTATTTTATTTTGTTGTGTGTTTGATCTTATCTGATTTCATAGAGTATATTATACCTTTCCATTATTATTGCCATTGCAAGGATTATCAAAAGGCCCTGGACAAGGATGACAGGAAGGACCATAAAACCCTGTGCAACACTCTGGTTCCTAAAAACAAGAAATGACATATTGACAGCCATTAGTTCAAGAGAATGGACCAAAATGCCATAGTAAAGGACCTTCATGCACAAGCATAGATATTTACTAAACATACTGTTGAGTGGAAAATGTGTATTGAATCTGCACCCCAATCTATGCATGTTGTAAACAATAAATGTGCACAAAATCATTTTTAGCTATTCCATAACTAAAAATGCCACAGCAAATTCAAAGCAGTACTGGGTAATTTATACTGTAAACTATCTTTGTTAGATACACAACTTGGTCAGGATTTTCTTAATTGGTTGGCAAAGATCTTTGTATGCTGAATCATTTGATATGACCTTTAAGTATTTTATAAAGATCCCTCAAGGATCCTATGAAGATCGTAGAAAAGATCCTAGTAAAAGTTCTTTGTGAGGTTCCTTTAAGTTCCTCCAAGAGCCCTACAAACATCCTTGTAAAGATCCTAGTAAAAGTTCTTTGTGAGGTTCCTTTAAGTTCCTCCAAGAGCCCTACAAACATCCTTGTAAAGATCCTAGTAAAAGTTCTTTGTGAGGTTCCTTTAAGTTCCTCCAAGAGCCCTACAAACATCCTTGTAAAGATCCTAGTAAAAGTTCTTTGTGAGGTTCCTTTAAGATCCTCCAAGAGCCCTACAAACATCCTTGTAAAGATCCTAGCAAAGTTCATTATAAGGATCCTTCAAGATCCTCAAGGACGAAACAATTAGGATCTTTCAAATATCTTACAAGGATCCTTTTAGGGAGCTTCTTTGCTAGGATTCTCAACATTTAATTACATGTGATTCAAACTTCCTATTTACCGGAGCTGAACATCTGGTGGCCCTACAACCACGGAAAATTCCAATAGGAACTCCTCGATAACTCAGTCGGTAGTAGCACACAGATGTTGTGGACTAAAAATTAAGATAAAAATACAAAACTCTTTAATATTTCACACAATGGGAAGAAATAAAAACTACTTTCTAGCTTCTTTTTCTATCAAAATACCATTTATATACATCTTGATGTCTTAAAAAGGAGATGAAAAACAGCTTTCAGGAAATTTGGCATACATTGTCACCCTCAAGGAACTCAAAATCAATTAAACCGGTGATAAGGGAGAACATATACCAAGCAGCCTTGCCAAATACTGAGCAAATTTGCCTCTTGTTTTTAATGGAAGTAAATTACCTTTTCATCTATCTTGATCAGAAAGAACTTACCGATGGGGTATATCCTATAGGGCACCCTGTCCTAGGCATGGCTTGAACACCTTCACACCGATAACAAATTCCCTGCCAAATGTTCCAGACAATTAAAAAAGGGGTTAAAAAAATATATCAATTCCATAGGATTCTATTCTAGATCATGATAGAGTCACTCAAATCACAGACTATCTCTCTTTGGCCATGAGGTGTATAAATTACACAAACTCCTAAGAAAGCAAACACAACTATGTGTGCCAAAATGTCAGAAGAGCAGACACATGTTAAAGAATTAAATTTATAGCATTTCTGATCCAATAAATACAACTTCATTGTGACTAGAACCATGATGCCTATTCGCATAGCACAATAATTCAGTTTTAATTGTTGTCTCATCTTAAACAATAACATATGGATGATAAAGACTAAAAACATTTGGAAGTCTTCACGACGGTTACAATGAGACTTTACTTGCCTTTCCCAAAGTCAGGATAGGACGCTGTGAGACACATTTAAATTGACAGTTTTGAAAACTTGAGATGAATAAGTCTACATTCATTTGTGAGATGTCCGATAATACAGGTTGGTCCAATCATGTTTCTGTAGGTGCTCTCAACCCGTATATTGATAAATACATCACTCAAGAGTCAATTAATGGATACTAGACCAATATCACTCAGTCGACCATACCCTCAGTTGACACTTGGCCGATACTTGGTCAAGACTCAGTCGATAAACAGTCAACACTCAAACTTGGCCAATAGTCAGTCATTATTTGGCCATTACTTTGTTGATATAGTCAGTTGATATATTGGTTGGGATATCGACCATCAACTATCAACCAACCAAGTTGACCAAATAACAACCAAGTCTTGACTAGGTATTGGCCAGCTTCGGCTGACTTATGGACCTTGTGTCAACCAACTATGGACCAAGTGTTGGCCAATTAAGTGTCAACCCTCAAGTAACTCAAGTAACTGCCCCACTCTCCACTGATATATCAACTGATATCCCAGTAAGCATGAAATGGTTAAACGGTCTATGTATCCAAACATATCAACTACTAACATTTCTGAATTTCTGTCCATTGCAATATCTTGGCAACAGAGGCTCAATATCATCAGGGATAATAAGGTTATCTGTCACATGAAGTATACCATCACTGACAAGAACACTTGATTCTGTGATGACAGAATCCTCATCCACAACAATACGACCCTGAAGAGCAATGCATTAAGTATTAGTAATTAAAACGTCATGCCACAACCTGCTACAGATTCCACTAAAGGTTTTACAAGGTGATGTTAAGGGACCCAGTACTGTTGAAGCTCATCCAGAGGACATTGCCACTCCCCCCTTAGGCTAAATGCCAATTGAATTGCAAATTTCTGGAGTTAATAAATATAGACCAGTTTGTTATTTGCCAGGGAGGAATCCATAAGGGAAAAAACACATGCATAATACATGTCAGTTAATTGGCAGTTTCAGAATCAAAAGGGGTGAATTAAAAGAGGCCCATTAGGAAACAAGTAAAACATTGTTCTTACTGTGGAAGTTACTTTGACTGTTAATGATTCTCCCTCTACTGAAATAACTTTGCCACTGTAAATCAAGTCTAAAACTGCAATCTGAAGAAGAAAACAGTCATTAGCTATACTGTTGGTGTCACTCAGATAAGGATCTTCCTGAATAACACACCTTGTACATGCTGAAAGTTAACTTTGGGTGTTCTCACTAAACTACTGCCTCACAAGATCACGCAAAAATGTATAAAGGCTGATAGTTTCAAAAGAAACTGTTTGGGGCTGTGTCGGTGGGGGTAATGAAATAATTTGGATATGTCAACAAAGTTGAAATGGTAAATTGGCCACCTAACGATTACAAAAGCTGACGTTTCGAGTGTTAGCCCTTTGTCAGAGCGAATAGAGGAATTGTGGGTTGTGTGTGCTTTTAAAGGCCGAAAATGGATCAGCTACATTATTGGTGGGAAAAATGTACCCAACTTGTGTACACAGGGATCGATACTACCAGCCAAAGAGATGGTTTCCTTCAGTTGAACGTGGTAACA